TTGCACCAATAAAAGTAAAAGACAATCGTAAGCTAATGCAACGTGTTTCTGATAGTTTCAAATGTTCCTTGTGCCCTGTCAAACTAGAAACAAAATCCCCTTTTGTTGTTCTACGGAGGATAAACTAAGTACCGTATATTAATACCGTCATCCTTATTTACTCTAAATGTAAACGAATATCAGCGCAACAAGTTTTTAACCTTTGACCCCATAAATAAAGATAAAATATGAGTCTGGGTGTACTGGACCCAGGAACAAGCCAGGCAAGTTTCTAATTAATTGTCCTTGAATTGAAGAAGTTACGAACAATTGTTAATTGTTTACAAGAAGAAAGTTGAGAACAATAAGAAGAAACATAAGAAAAGCAATGTCTCCTCCCGCTGTTGGAGACAATACTTGTACTCAGGACACAAGGCAGACCAGTCGAGAGAAAAAAATCACGTCATCTCCGTTATAATGCAAGGTGGACGAAATCAAGTGTTAACACTCTCCACCCTTCACTATCTTTGATTATTTTCACTGTAGTAACTGATGTTTCTGTTATGGTATTCCATTTGTACAACAAAGCCTCAAATATTAGTCTAATTTACCCTTGAATATACTGTAAGTTAAATAATCCTTGAAGATTATTTTGGTAATGTATCGCACAAGTATATGTTCTTTACCTTTATTTACATTAACGCAACGTTCCCCAGCCAGCCAAGTAACACACTAGACCTCGGGTTCAACAAGGAGATATCTACGTTTTACTCCAAGAAGTCTACACGGTTACCGCACGCAGACAGGCGCTACTAACAATAACAAGGCTCCTGAGTGGAATACTGGAGCATAGTTTCCACTTGGGGATTGTATCCTTATATACTGCAATTATTTACGTTTTCTTATTGAGCAGGATACAGTTTGCATATAAACAATAAACAATTTCATACCGAACATCAGTGTAAATATATTCACAATAAAATAAATAAAAAAATTAAACGCTAAGTAAACATATGGCAAGAAGTTTAAGTTCGGATGAAAGTCAATTTCTACCTCCAATTTACTAAATTTAATAACCGACAAAAGAAAATCCGAAGATGAAAGTCACGAAAAGCGTCTTTGGTCTCTTATGAAGAAGGGGATAGAATAATGATGTTTCAAGGAATTAAATATTTGGGTAAAAAATATGGAGGTGTGTGGATGAGTAAATGAGACACGCGGGAAGATAAAGGGATGAAAATTGTGGGAATATTCGCAAATGAGAAATACGAAGATAATGTTAAGTGTGGGAAGGTGTAGATGAGAAACGTGTCACAGGCGTCAAAATGAGAAACAAGGAGAGAAAAGGAGGAAATAGGGTAATCAGAAACATGAAGTCTTGATGAGGGGAAGTGGGTGGGGAAATCCCTGTAGTATGGGAGATAGGTGGATGATTACGATGAGAGAGAGAGAGAGAGAGAGAGAGAGAGGTATTATATCGACAGAATTATGTAGTGAGGATGAATAGACAATTGGGTGATTAAAAAAAAAAAGGTCGAATGGGAAAAAATAAATAATAATAATCACCAAAAGACGAAAAAGTGAAAGGTGAAAATAAGACGCTAGGAAGGACTAAGATGGAAGGGTCCAGCAAAACAACAAACAAAATGCAAGGACGAGCAAGAGCGAAATAATAAGGAGAATCAGTGGAAAGGAGGAACAGGAATGGAACAAAGGCAGGGAGGGGAAAATAATTGTGGGTAAAGTAATAAAAAGTGGTATAGTATTAGGGAGAGAAACTGGATGGAAGAGGAAAGGGAATAAAAGATGAGTATTAAATGTGATAAAAAGTGGAAAAAGTGAAAGAGAAAGATGGGAGGGGAATTGGAGTTGGAGTGAATGAAACAATGAAACAATGAAATAGAACGACAAAGACAAAGATGGGAGAGAAACGGGAATAAGAGCTGGAGCAAAGGAAACGACGAGAAGTGAAATAGCAAGACAAATATATCTGTAAGAGGAATAGGAGTAAAGGAGGAAATAAACTTGATACAAAGTAAAAAGGAAGGAGAGAAGGAATTGGGAAGCAGGTGGTAGTGAGGGGAGTTGGAATGTCATTGTGAGTATAATGAAAGGTTGGCAGGAGGGGGGGGGGGGAGGAGGGAGGGAGGGGTAGAAGGGGTGGTAAAGTGAGGAGAGGAGTAAAGGGGTGAGGAGGGTTGGTGGTTGAAGGAAGTGAGGGGTGGAGGTAGGAAGTAAAGGGTAAGGGAGGAAGGTGAGTGTGGCAGAGAGGTGAGGGGTGATGGAGGAGGTGAAGGATGGTTGAGGTGGTAGAAGGTGGTAAGTGAGGATTAGTGAATGGGGGTAGGGATGGGAGGGTTAGTGGACGGGGAGGGGTGGTGGAGGAGGGAAGATTAGTGGGTGGGGGTAGGAATGGTGGAGGGAGGAGGAGGTAGGGATGGTGAAGGGAGAGAGGAGGTAGGGAAGGTGGAGGACGGTAGTGAGGCGTTATTGGGAAGAGGGAGGTAGGGGAGTGAAGGGGGCAGTGCTAGGCAAGAACGGGTAAATAAAGGGTATTGGTGGATGTGGGGTCACAGGGGTCAAGACAGGGTTTGTCTAATGTGGAGGAAATAGACCGAGAGAGAGAGAGAGAGAGAGAGAGAGAGAGAGATATATATATATTTTTAGTTTAACAAATTTATTGACAAGGCTTGGAGGACTGTTGAGAGAGAGAGAGAGAGAGAGAGAGAGAGAGAGAGAGAGAGAGAGAGAGAGAGAGAGAGAGAGAGAGAGAGAGAATAAGAATTGCGAAGAAACATAGAGATAATGAGTGACTGGGAAATGGAATCGTGGATGACATACTGAACGAATTTGATGGGAAGTGATACGATTGCTGGGGAGAGCCTGGTGGGGGGAGGAGGAGACGGGGAGGGACCGGGGAGGGGGATGCTCAAGTGACGAGGACTGCAGACTGGGGAGCATGGGAGGGGATGTCGCGGAGGGGGACTAGACCTGGGAGGTATTGGATGGGGGTGAGGAGACGGGGTAGCAACGTAGGTAGTGTCAGAGGAGCAAAGATGGGTTAGGTATGGAAGAGGGAAGAAAAATGACGGGAAAAAGGAAAACGGAGATGGACGTAGGTAGTGATAGGGAGGAGAAAGCCAAAATGAAGAGAGGAGTGGGTGTGGATGGTAGAGGTGAGTGGAGGGTAAAAAGTGGGGAATGGAAGGTAATGGGTGGTGGAGGAATAGAAGTTGGGGGATGGGGGCACCGGGGAGGGGGAGAGTAAGGTGGGGGAGGAGCTGGGAGTGAGGGACTGAGGGGCAGGGAGTAGATACACAACACAGGTTGATTGAGTATTTCTATTCAATGCCACAACCCCTGGCAGGCAATAAATTTCATTATTATACATCCTAACAATTCAAGCACAACTGTTGCTTCATCAGTGTATATTAAAAAAAAATATGTCGAGACTTATCAACAGACTTGAACTTCACTGAATTCATGTTAAGACTACTTCAGAGTTACAACCCCATTCAGACAAGTACTTGTAACATATTTTGTTGCGGTTTCAACAGGCGAAAGAGAGAAAATCAATATATTTTTTTTACCAAACTTTAGGACACGCAATTACCGAACGAAGCATTTATCTGGAGTAGCTCAATCTGAAAACGCTTAAAACAGTTATGTTCCATATGAACAAAAGAAACAAATAACTTTATACCGTTAATAATATAAATTTTCCGCCACGTTAAAAATACAACTGTAGCCATCCAGTATAACCCATCACAAAATTAAGCTTGGCGTCGTGCTGCCCTCAAAGGCGATGTGGCAACTGCCCCCTCTGCGTGCGGCTCCAGCGGTATCTGTGAATCTGGTTCAATCCGGTTCTCAAATGTCCTAAGTTATAATGATAGACATATGGCACTGTAAATATCTTTTGTGCACAGGCATCATTTATGGATATCAACACGAGAAGAAATTACTCGTCCACTTTATCAGTTGTGCTGCTTAAAAGTAAAGTTTGACTAATATGGCGGCGCACAGTATGAAAATCCCGTCTGTCATCGATAAAACAGACTGGCTACAATACTGTATCCCCGTAACAGCTAACATGTTACTAACACTAATATGTCTAGGAATTGATCATAGTACTGCACCTACGGCGTAGTAGGCCTATGCTACAACAAACTAAATCCTTTAGATCGCAAGCAGGGGCCCCGTCTACTCACTTTAATTAACACATTATTAATTTTAGTGCTACTCAAAACAATTGTTTCACATTCCCTGTAAATGTGAAATGCACATATAGGCCGAAACATTGTGCTTGTTCATCGCCAAGTATTTGTGTCGCCAACTTGGGCGCCTACATAAAATGCGCAAGCGCCATCTTTATAGGAACTAAATTTCGCGGACAAAGGAAGCACATCGTAACCTGACATTGGGAGCAGAACCTTAAAATTATTTTGTTCACCGAGTGATTCTATCCACCTCTAGGCATTTATTATAATAGGAACAGCGTTGTGAGGAAAGGGATGGGATAAATGAAACAACTTGACGAGCAGTGCATCGGTGTGAGGGAGGCTGGACCGCCGTCAACAGCTGAACGCTGCTTCTCTGTGGGAATGACACTTCCCTCTTGCGAAGACAGCCGCTGTTGGTATTTCCCGATGCACTCCACATGTTGTTGTTGGTCTGGATTCATTTTATTCAACACTAATTTCCGATTGTCGGCCAAAAAACTCACTCATATTGACACCACACCAAAATGGCGTCGCTCTTCTCCTTCACTCGATACAGCACTGAGGGTGGATGCAGTGTGACGTCACGGTATTACTCCGCGACATATGATTATTATTAAATAAAATAAATGAAAGCTTTACAAATATATCGAGAACGTAGTATATTTATCAAAGTATTGATGTATTATATTATTTTCATGGTGTGAATAGTAAGAAGGTGGTTACTGGATATATATCGATACGTACTACTTTCCTTAGCGGATTTTGCAGCGCGCGTCCGGTAGTGGTCGTCGGAACGAGACCATCTTCCTAAACAGTCATTCGGCTGCTATGATCGTGTTCAGACGTACCAGCTACGTTACTCCCCGCGGTTGGCAGCGACGAACTTGGAATAAGGAAATATCGCACTTATTACCGTAACCCATAACGTCCAGTGTTGTGTGCAATACGTGACATGACGAGCATTGAAGTTTTGTTACCATCGCCAAGAGTCAACATGTTGGATTCGGGGACTTTGGGTGCAGACATTACCCTGCCCGGTCTCTGCGGGCCGCGCAGGGGCACCCGCCGCCCGTCGGGCACCGCTGAGAGCGAGAGTGATTCTCCCCCAAGCAAGAAGAGTAAGAAGGCTCGCCGACGGAGGAAGAGGCCTCGTCAGCGCTGCGGCGTGAATGGGATTCGGACGAAACCTGTGGCGCCGTTCAACACCACCCAGTTCCTGATGGCGGAGCATGACCTGCTCCAGGATACGGATATTGTGGCTCGCCCTCGACGTCATCGCGACTCCTCCCTCAGTTTAGACTCCGAAGATCAGTCCAACGAATTTTATTCCTCCCCAGAAGACGAAGAAGAGTTCCTCACACGAGAGTTCTGGACGGCCTACGAGGACGTTCACGCGGAGCGCCTCGACACCATGACGAAGGCGCAGCTGGTGCAGGAGTACCTGGCACTAGAGGAAAAGGTGGACCTACTGGAACGACAACTGTGCGCTGTCAGGGCTCGTCATCGATATCGCCTCCAGCAGAACGGTGATGACGACGACGATGCTGTTGGTCCTGGTGAATTGCGTGTAGACTCTGAGACAGCGCAGAAAATCACCATTTTTCAGACGGAGATCAGCAACTTGGAGACTGAAAACCGCCGCCTGCGGGAGGAAAACATCGAACTGCGACGTACATCTCTCACCAGGTCTTCGTCGTCTTCATCGTCGTCGTCCAGTAGCGACTCCAGCAGTAGCAGTAGTGACTGCAGCAGCGACAGCGAGATGGAAAATGAAGAGATCCCGAGGCAGCAAGAAGAACACCAAGTAGCAACACCTGGATGTGCAACGACAGGTGTGTGTAGTGAACCACAGGAGTCGTGTGTTGAAGACAGCGTACAGTCGGGGGACAGTGTGAGACAGTGTCAACCAGATAGTGGTGTGTCGTGTGATAGTCCTGAGGACGCTGACCCTCCAACCTCCTCCTCCACTTGCGTCAAGGAGGCGGGGGAGGTGGTGGTGACGGCGGGCAAGTCAGAGGCCACTGTGGTGGAGGGTGAGGTGACGAGCACCACAGCAGCGTAGCTACGTCTTGGCTCAAATCCTCTGTAACACCACTCACACACACGCTTTGATCTGTGATCCCAGACTTTATTTAATTTAGGTTCACACGAGTGTTATTGACTAGAAAGTCGCGTCACGCCCACCGGAGAAGACCAGATCTGCCAGCGGTGTTTGTTGACGTTTGTGTCGCTGCTTCACATCGACCACAGGATGGACACGGCCCAAGTCACCTGTAACATCTGTAATTGGTTGACATGCAAGTTTTTGTCATATTTCAAGTGTTCATTTAGGCTAGTGAAAACTATCGTGAATATTTGTGATCTCCATATCTTTAGTAAAAAAAAATATAAGGCAGTGTTGGGTGGTCACGTGAACTTGTCGGCAGACTAGACTCGTGTGAGAATTTATGATAAGGATTGACTTCGCTAAGGACGAATTAATTCTTAAGAACTTTACAAAATCGATCTCTTATAATACTAAATTGATTATGGAAGATAATTTCATTTTATTCTTTGTGTATCTTAAGAAAAATGATAAGAAATTGTTTAGGATGCTACAATATGAAGTGATTATCGTACGCGAGTGTGTGGAAGAGATGCCAGACACTGCTAGTTTCCAGATACCAGTCCGCCAAATCCGTTCAATTCAAAGGATTTTTTCTAATGTTTAGGATGTCTTGTATATGTATTCAAGGTGTATGGAATAAGTATTATGTAATCTATTACTTCCCATCCAAGAGAACTGGAGAAAAATATTTTGTTGGATATTTCACCAAGGCGGATTTGTGTAATTGTATTTCCATCCTAAGGTTCTGATAAAGTAAGACGAGATTCTATGCTCATTAGTGTTAGAATACTCGCGGACATATCTCGAAGCTAGTCATTAAGGTCAAATTCTGTAATTCCCACAAGAGCCTTAATGAACCATGAATTGCTGTACTGTTTTCTGGTCTCGTGGGAATTGTCTGAATTTGTACCACATATATTTTTTATGAAAAGGAAAGATGTTATGCCAATTTAACAGGATATATTATTGAATAAATAAATATATATATATTATGTTCTCCGGTTTTTTGTAAGCCAGAGACAGGGCAGGGCGTTCGTTTCTTGGCTGTGACTTACGCTTGGGACCGGCGCGTTCCAGACGCTACTGTATGCTTCTGTTGTAACGCCCAGTGATAAAAGAGGTATATAGAGTAACGCTCGTCTATTATTTTGTTTTGCGAGCGATTTTGATCCTTATACTAGGAGTCTGTAAAGGTATATTTTCTTGTCAATTGTATGTGCAGATTCTAAGGGAAATGACAAACATAAGAGTTCTAAGTATGGATCAAAATTCCTGGTATATTTTTTTCTGCAAGCTGAACCATTTTATTATGTAAGGCTCGTCAATTACATGTCTTTTAGTCTTACGGCAAGATTTTTAAAGGTGCAATAAGCTTCAGCCGGTCACGGTGAACACAAAAGAGATTGGCTGATGTGACTTTCTTGCAAGTTAGAGAAATATCAATCAATCTCGAGCGTGGTATCGTGAGTGTGCGGGCTTTACTTACCTCTGAAAGTCTGCTACACATATCCTGTTGATGGCTGCGAGACATTTCGGCTAGAATTCTGGAATGGCTTATGAAAATCAATAGGACCCTCAAGCTCAGTTTCTGATGGGCTAATATTGCCTAAGTGATATTGGGCGATTTCAGAATTCGAAGCTCAGCGAGTACAAAGTTCCCATGATCTTAGCCTTCCCCCTTGTTTATTTTTTTAAGAAAGAGTATTTGTTATAAAAAAAGGTTTATTAATAGCTATAAATAAAAAAAATAGCGTTGCAAGTAAAGTTCTTGGTTATATGCAAGTGGAATCTTATGATGATGGTCGTACCTGAGATTATAAGATATATAAATGAAACGTGATCTTTCCTTTTCAAAATGTTATGTGCTTCCTGCGCGGAGAAATGTAAAACAGATTTTTCAGAAATAATAAAAGAATAAAAATAAAATGTATTTTAATTATATCCTATTTTTATACTTTAGGTTAAAAAATTGATTGAAAACTTTTAAATGAGTTGGTATTTATTTATTTATTGCAAATGGAGATTTTTTTTGTCAGTACATGTAAAAACACTGGTGTATATTTTTATTTTATATTCTTTTGTGGGACTGTTGAGTAAGTGAACATAAATAATAGAATGATGACACTGCTGAAATACTGATAAATATGAAACTTTCCTAACTGTAAATGATGATAATCAGCATTCGGAAAGCTAAATGAATAATGAGGTATTGTATACTGACTGAAAACATTACTCATGATCACAAAAAAACATGACAAAAGATGAACTTATACAACAACAGAATAAGTGTGATGATAAACTACATATGAAATTGACAACAAAATATAAGCATTTACAACCAGAGGATGTTAGTCATTAAAAGAGAGAAAATACACGATAGAAGAGTATGCCTTTAAAATTATAGAGAATATGATCAACTACAATCTGAGAGAAAATGATTCAATTTGTTTATAGTTGTAGGACATCTATGAGCATTTACAACTAGTGGGGGAATTGTTAAACTGCATCACCTGTAGACCAAAGAATAGGTACTGAATACTGTACACGAAATGAAAAGATCCCTGGCAAAGTTAAGGTATACTATAATAAACCCGAGTCCGCATTTATGTAGAATACTAGAGCAGTTACAAGTGATCCTTAGAGCTTGTTTCGGGTAGTAAAGTATAAGATAATAAAGAGAGCTGAATCAAGAACATGACGTAGCTGACATTGTTCTCAACACATTCGGAATTTCTTGGTATATAAAAGTAGTAGACAAGATCACTAAATTGTACTGTACACAATACTTATAAAGATTGTATTTTAATTAACTATAGTACAGGTGTAGGGGGAAAAATTGTGCAGGAAGGGAGTGTTCGTCGATGATAAGTTCGACGAATAAATGATAAAATTATTATTTGTGGGGTTACTGGTTCAGATAAAATCGAATGAACTAAATTAAAGCTTTGAAATGATCACGACTAAGGTAGTAACAGTACAGAAGGAGTGACATGGACTAATGTAGCGGTAAGAAGACTTGACATGTCATTTAGATGCTTGAACTGGGTTTTAGTGACAAAGCAGAGCAACAGCAAAAAAAAAAAAAATCAACCATCTTATTTCAAAAAGTTACAATGCATCATCAATTCTCATCAATGTTGGCAGCCGTGAAAGTAACGAAAAGAAGAAAAATAAATACAGTTATCTAGAAGGGTTGAGGTTGAATTTGTTGGTAAGGCACACAGATTTTATTTTTTGAGTTTGTCCATGAGAACTCTATTAACAAGACTGGGAATAACATGCCTAAATGTGGGAACTGTATACAATGAAAGTGGAGGCAAGACTTTTGTGGAGGGTTAGCAGTTGTGAAGAGATATCTGGAGTTTTGAATAACAATGACGCCGGGAAGTAATAAAAAAATAACAAGAAGGGAACAATTTATGGGTTTCCTCATCGTTGGGTAAATGGTCAAAATATACCTGACTATGGTTGGGTTAGGGACTGCGTCGGAAATAAACAAAAGGTATGGACGGAAATGGGGAATATGATCCGGATGTGTGTGGCTAAGGGAGGACCTCGTGTGTAAGAGGTATAAATAAGTGTTAAAGAACATGAAAAACAAGAAGAAATGATGTGGTGAATGAGGTAACAGTGTTGAAGGAAGTGGTAAGTGAGATGTTACTTATTGTAAGGATGGTAATGTGGTAAAGAATCAAGTTAACAACAGAAACTAAAATAACTGCATAAAACAACAGTTATACACACTGAATATAATGTTTATTGATTAAAAGATTTAGGACATTCATTAACGGCTTAGCGAGAAAGAACGAAAAAAAAAAAAGGATTGATGTGACTGAGTGATTCAAATCTCAATAATCATTCTACTTCGGAAAAAAATCACGAATTTAGTAATTGTCGATTTAATAAAAACGAAGTTGATGATTGAGTGAACAGATCGTGATTATGGAACATGATTTAAGAATATGGGATGTGAGAAAGGAAATGTACTGGAAGCCGTTAACAGGAATTAAAACCACCGTCACGAATTAAGTAATAAGGTGAAGAAAAAAAAGTCGTAAGGTTTGTTGATGTTATGTTGTGTTACTGAGCTTTAATAATATTGTCTTATAAATGCGTATTCTACAGTAGGTTAGTACATACACTAGTCATAAAAACATTAAACAAAATATAAATAAAAAGATCTCTCGGTGTATGGAAGAAGGAATTAATGCTTGGGTTCATGTTGCTGAGCGCTGGTATAAGATATGATGATGAAAAACTCTGACGGTGGAGTTTTGGTGAGTGTAATTAACGAACAATTTAACGAGTGCAAATAAGAGAGAGATTAATGTTTCTGAGCGAGAGTCGGAATGATGTGGAATTCTGAAAGATGAAGAAACCATAGAAAGTTTACAGGAGTTAAGATTGTTTGGAGGAATTTTCACCAAGGATAGTGGGGTGTAAACTGAGACATTAGTGGAACTCTTGATAAGCGGAGTAATTACCAGAGCGTGAAGATGATGATTACCTTCTTGTGATTTTACATCCATACGTGAGTGAAATTTTCGAAACATATTAACTTATTTCAGCGATCAGGATGTACCAAGTGGAGATTAACATTTATTTTCTGAAGCGGATGTAAATAATGGTGATACTATTTAATATTATGACATTTTAACAGTGATCCTTGACTTTGACTTTTCTGCTGTAGACACAATAAGCCAACGTAAAGCAACCGCCTTGTTTACCCACTTCACACCTGGTTACAGTGGAGAATGTGCGATGACTAGAAAAAGCCACACTAAAATGTCAGAAAAAGTCACAATTTTGGTTAGGTTAGGTTATTCTGTGACTGTTTCCTTTCTCATGAAGTCCCTTCCTTGTTAGTAAGGTTACGTTCAGTTAGGTTCAGTTAGGTTAGGTTAAGAAGTTAGGTTATTTTCTTTCCCGTAACATTTTTTTCCTAGAGTCGCGGTGAAGTCCCTTGTTATTGAAGACACCGCCAACACCTGACCTTGAACTTGGTGTTAATGATATATTAGGCTCCCTGAGACTATATTTACTACCCTGAGAACATATTTATCCTAGGACATCAATACCACACCAGAATGAATCCCTTGACGGTAAAACATTATTACCACACCGCAAAATTAATCCCTTGACTGCAAATATCTATCCTAGTATACGTAAACATTTCCCTATACATTAAAAGAAATCCTCATAATTCCTATAATATTAGATGGTAACACTTAATATAACAATGTGGAGTAAGAAGGTGTGATTTTATTAACGGTACTGAGAAGTGTTGACAGTTAATCCAGGTCGTGTTGTCTTGTAGGATTAAAAACGTGTGTGGTTTGGGGGAGGAGAGGTGTGTGTGTGTGCGTGTGTGTGTGTGTAAAGTCATTTTTTTACGCATGGTATTGTGGGGAAGGTCACGGTAAATCAGACACACGGGCGAGTGAAGTTGTATACAGACGAGACTGAAAAAAAATAAGCATTTCTTCTCTCACCCTAACCAAAGTTCTCTACCATATTCTCTCACAATAAACTAGTTCTCTCACATATTCTCTCACCATAAGCAAGTTCTCTCACATATTCTCTCACCATAAACTAGTTCTCTCACATATTCTCTCACCATAAACTAGTTCTCTCACATATTCTCTCACCATAAGCAAAGTTCTCTCACATATTCTCTCACAATAAACTAGTTCTCTCACATATTCTCTCACCCTAACCAAAGTTCTCTACCATATTCCCTCACAATATACTAGTTCTCTCACATTCTTTCACCATAAGCAAAGTTCTCTCCCATATTCTCTCAGCATTAGCAAAGTTCTCTCCCATGTCTCACCATATACCAATTCTCTCATTTGAGCTCTTATTCTCTCGCCTCATTCTATCATATCTTTAACCACAAGTAGATTCTTTCCCCCTTTCTCTCTCTCACACTTCATTTCTCATCTCTGTACCATTCCATTTCTCTTCACTGTTGGAGACTAGTTTCCTCCCCTCTCCCAACAAAGCTTATTTCTTCCCTCTCAAAATGACCCAGTTCCCATTCCTCCTCTTCTTCCTCCTCCTCCTCTTCATCTATAGCGTAGCCTTGCATCCTCGCACGCATTTTCTTCTTTCTTTATGCCAAGGATCCAAACATTCCCCTTCCTTTTACCACAGCTTAATTGACCTTATCTCCTCTTCTCCTCCTCCTACAACAGCCTAGTTCTCCCTTCCTCCACCAATCCCCATCACAGCATAGTTCCCCCTTCCACCACAGCATAGTCCCCCCCTTTCTCCACCCTCTCTCCCCACCACAGCCTAGTTCGTCCAACCATAATCGAATTCTCTTCCCTTTCAACTATTCGTGTTTTCCACTATAGTCTAGTTATAAGAGGTAACCTAGTAAGGCAAGCTTACTTTAGGACTCTACTGTACCAAAGAGAGAGAGAGAGAGAGAGAGAGAGAGAGAGAGAGAGAGAGAGAGAGAGAGAGAGAGAGTCACTACACCAGTTAAGGTAAACAAACTCAACCATGAGAATGACACAGATTGTGTTACAGTTGATCCATCAGTTACAGGATGTTGTTGTCTGCCAAGAACAGTGTTTCTTAATTACCAGTTGACACATAATATTTTGATTCAGTTATCTTGTGGAAATCACTATACCTGCATGAATATTAATCAGTGTCTTATCTTTATTTACACGTTACTCGCAACAACACTTAAATGTAACCAGATTTCCGTGTAGTTCCACCAATCTGGCTGTGGGGACGGAGCCAAGTAGATCATTCTTATTAAGGAACGATAATGAATGCAACAATAACCAAACCTGTATTACACACCCCAGGGAAGGCTAAGTTTGGCTATCTGATCCGCCCGCCACGCCTCTTGTCTCGTTTTCATACACTTTACTCATCCAAAAATATACACAATCCTAGTTGTTTGTTAC